ATGGGTTTAAATTAAGACATATTGTGTCAAGTACTATTATATTTTTTACCATTTTAAGATAAAGTATTAAAGAATATCTTCTTGTATTTGCTTTTATGAAAAAGCGGATTATAAAAATAATATAATTTTTCGTTATGTGTGAAAAAAATCGGCAGAATATTATCTGTAGATCAGCAGTTATGTTTTGTTCATGGTGTGCAGCTGGCTGTTAATGATGCATTTTATAATAAGTTGGAAAATGAACCAGATCAGCAATATAATGAAGAAGAAATTTATTTCACAGAGAGTGACTCCTGCCAGGAGGAAGATATTTTTGACAGTGAAGGATCCCCCCCCCCCTTGATAGTAGTCAGAGTCATGAAAGAAATGAGATAACCGAACCAAGTATTGGTCCCCTGATAAATAAGGTACGAAAAATAATATCTTTGTTTAGAAGGTTACCAACAAAGAATGATTTATTACAACAATATATTCGAACAGAATTTGGCAAGGACATTGTCTTATTAAGAGACTGCAAGACGAGGTGGAGCAGTCTTTTGTTAATGGTGGAACGTTTCTATTTACTGAAAGAGTGCATACAAAAAGCATTAATAGACATAAAAAAATAAAGATAAATCACTAGATTTATCTCATGATGATATTCAAATATTATTTCATATAATTATTGCTCATGTGCCAGTAAAAACAACTGTTGAAGCACTCTGCCGTCGAGAGAGCAATCTATTTACAGCAGACATTGCCATAAATTTTATGCTAAATAAGCTTAAAGATGCAAACAGTGCTATAAGTAAAAAATTATGCACAGCTCTCATTTCTCGTATGGGAGAACGTCGTGCAGAGTTAAGTGGTTTATTGCAATATTTACACAATGGATTAAGCAACGTCTCAGGAGCAGATTTTGTTACAGTTTCTTCCTCTATTAAATGCCGTAAATTAATAGTGAACCTGCTTGAAAGACTTAGTGCTTCAAATCCCACTGCCTTATTACATTCTGATTCAATAACTCACACACAAACACAATCCCCTTGTACACAAAAATCATTAAGTGTAGCAGAAGAACTAGATAAAGTTATATAAGAGGGATATGCATCAATGCAGCCAATTAGATTTGAGACACTTTCATCCAAAATTCAAAAAGAAAAGTCTCTTTTTGAAAATGGAGGGAGACGTAGGGACTACTTGGAAAGAGCGTACTCATATTTAATGAAAATAAAGCCTACTAGTGTAGAGTCGGAACGAGCATTTTTATTGGCAGGACAATTTGTCACAAAAATAAGAAGCCGTTTGAACGATGAAACGTTGGACAAGCTGTGTTTTCTAAAATCTTATTTACAAAAACACAAGAAATGAAGGATTTTTTTAAAATTTCGTTATGTACTATTTTTATATTTGATTTGTTTCAAGAAACAATATTAAACCAATTTTTTTATTATGTTTTGAGTTTTATTATGTAATTTTTACAATGCTAGTGTGTAAGTATATTTCATAAATAGTTCAGCTCCAATTCCGGGAGTGTGTGTGGCCGCGGTAGTCTAGTGGTCTAGGCATCGGATCGTGGCTAGTATCTCATGAGTTTGATCCCAGTATCACTGAAGACCCGCCGTGTAGGGTAGCGATGCACGCATTAAATCTGTCGAGATCTCAAACGTCCTCCCGTTGGTGTGGTAGTTAGGAAAGGGGGGTGCCAGCCCAGGTGTCGTCCGCGTCACTTGACCATGGTTCGAAATTACTCGGACCGTCGCCAAAAGCCCTCGTGTAGCTGAACAGTGCGACGTTAATATTCACCCACTCACTCCAATCCCGGGATTTGAATAATGTAATCCCTGGATTGGAAATATAGTACTGGATTGCAAACCCTATCCAAGACAGTGCTGTGAAAACATCCACCGAGACCTGGCTCAATGTGAACAGAGACCTAATTTCTACCAAGACGGATTAAACAGGTTGGTTCTGCGTTCTAATAAATGCCTAAATAGACTTGGTGACTATGTCCAAATGTGATTGGAACGTATGTCTCTTATTTCCCTTTTATATTTTCTGTATATTGTTAAAAAATATTTCTTTATTTGACTTGTAACCTTTTTTTCTGACCAACCCTCGCATTGCTTGATTTGTGACTGTGATTAATAGCACGGCTAGGTAAGACCACGTTAAAAAAAAAACTCAGTAAATCTGCAAAATTTTTGGTCACATTACAAATTACGTGATGGCGGGTGTCAACAGTGGTGATTTTAAAATGTCAAGATGCTATGATTTTTTTGGATAGAAAAGAACAAGTGTTGTACCCTTTTTGAATCTTAACTAAACTGATCTTTTGAAGAACTTGCTTAGAGTTGTGTGCAGCGGTTTTATTTTTATGGAGAGTCAAAGTGTGTTAGGTGGCATCATTTTCTCAAAGCCTGACTCAAACAAACTACAGTTCAACCGCTATTTAACGAATTTTTCTGTTTTGCGAACTTTTTTTTAAAACTAAGAACATTTCGCATAACGATTCATGTTCATCGCCCGCTGTTATGGATGAAATGAGGAAATCACATGCGCCGACTTTGCGAGCTCACGTTCTCGTCACCTACAGCTTTCCGCCTGTACTTTCCTATGTCACTATGGCTCCTCACGATGTTCTCTACCTCTCCTCCAAGTTTGTACACGGCATTCGGGGACACCCTATATGTGATCACCTCATGGAACACGGCATCATATATGAGATTGCGTTTTTTTCTTTCTGAGGCCCGTGATCACACTGGTGTGACCTGAATTTGGAAGGTATGAAGACTTCGTTAAATAGAGGCCCGACTGTTTAATTTTAACTAAGCCAACAAAGCACTTGTGAATAATAGCAATGGTATTTAAGATTACGTTAGTAAGAAATCATTATCTTGTGCTCATAGTACCTAATGATGCAATGAAATTGGTCAATTTTTATTTTCAAAAAATATACCAGCCATTACTTAAACATGGGTTTTTGTTTTATTGGGTATATGGGCTTTTGTTTTATTTTCCCAGAACTCTGATACGACCCCTTCGCCTTTCGACGTTGAAATTCGGGACACCCTGTATATATGAACAATTAAATTTCTATTACAATGTAATCTAATTCATTAATTACAATAACAGGTTATAAACAAGTAATATGAAGGGGAAAAAATTCAGGTCAATTCCTACTTAGGTCAACAAAGAAAAATTTTATTTTATTACTTTTTATTAAATAATTTCAATTAATATAAATATGTATATACATATGACAGAATCGCAATATTAAGGGGCAAAATAGAAAGTAATTTTCCTTGCAAGTTTCCATTTTCCTTTCCATATATGGTGTTAGATTATTTTATATATTTTAGTTCCTTAACTATTTATTCATTAATTAAATTTAATTATTTCAATAAAATTGTACAGTAAAAAGAAGCCACATTCTCAGAAATTAGGCCATAGGTTCCCAACCTTTTTTGAACTGGAGCCCCCTTCTCTAGTAAATATTTCGACACCCCGCCCCCTTCCACTCCAGAGAAATAAGAGTGTACGAAAAAACATGGTGAAAACAAGAGTTAAATTTTAAAAAATAATCTATTACTAATAGAATATATTTTTTAATTTAATTTTTTTCTAAAGCCCCAATTTTTTTACTTGAGAATCTGAAATAAATATTTCCACAAATATATTTAAAAATGTGTAATATTATATATTTTAGTCATAGATAAGATATTGTTGGAATTGAAACGCGTTACTGAATTTCATCTTCATTTAAAAGAGTGGAATAAAAGTTTTTTAGCTTACCTGTTATAAAGACAGGTAGGGGTTTTGATGATACGAAGTAATTCATGAGATAAACTATTGCTTTCAAAATAAATATAAATTGACGGTTTAAGCCTTTAAGGAATCACACGTTAATTCCTGGTTAACATATTTAATTATGTTTCTTGTGGATAATATACAAGGGGTGATCAAATGAAAAGGTACGAAACGACACGGTGGGTACAAATATAGACTTTATTCAAAATATACACCATAGGCCTGAGCACAACGATCCCACTGATGAACAAGCCGCAGGATTCCTTGTTCCCAGAATTCCTGTGGCTGTGACGAGACCCAGTCCTTCACAGTGTCCTTGAGTACGTCGTCCGAGTTGAAGCGCTTTCCTTTCAGGTGTTTCTTCAGTGGACCAAACACATGGAAATCGCAGGGTGACATGTCCGGACTGTAGGACGGATGGTCCAACGTCTCCCATTGGAACTTGTCCAGTTCCATTTGTGTGACTCTGGAGACGTGTGGACCCGCGTTATCATGGAGCAGAACCACACCCTCCGTGAGCAGCCCCGGTCTTTTGTTCTTGATGGACCTGCGTAGGCGTCGGAGTGTCTCACAGTACACATCGGAGTTAATGCTTTTTCTGTGTTCGAGTAATTCTGTGCTCGCATCATTTGGACGCCGCTTTTTATAAGAGCCTTTGCTCTCTCCTGCGCATGCGGGCACCCACGCATGATCCGATCCCAGTCAGAGTCTCCAATGGCATCCCGAGATGTCTCGCTACATTCTCCCTTGGCGGAATATGCAAATATTTAACTGTTTCATTTTTATGTCGTTTGGTACCTTTTCATTTGATCACCCCTTGTACATAATGAAATGCAGTGGACGAAGCATTTTTCCTACTGCTCACAGACAAAACAACTCGTGCACCACAGAAATTAAAATGCACTATATCATTCTGTTGAATATAAGTTTGAACGTAATGAAATCTTTAAGTTTTACATCCACTTCTCGGACTACCGAAAAATGTGAATTTTTGTTCATGTGATAGAGAAATCATTTAAATACATACAATCAACATGTTTACTTCTGTTAGTACATAATCAGCGCGTGTTTTTTTAGTCTTTTTTAGACTATATATTTGGTTAATCTGGCCAAGCTCCTCCGTGCCATCTCAATGCCCCTCAATTTTCTCTGGGTCTTTTAATGCCCCCTGAAAGCCTCAAACGCCCACGTTGAGAACCTATGAATTAGGCCATTCCAGTTGAGATTCGAACCCATGACTTTTGGATTACAAGTCCAACGCGCTACCCATTGCGCTACAGGGAGCGTTTTTCCTTTTTATATATGCTGTTGGACTATTATTTTTGTTTGTTGCTGTTTATTCATTTTTAATTTAATGAATAAATTAATATTTGAAAAAACTGTATTAACATCAAGTGGCATCCACTACAAAGTTAAAAAAAATGTATTTGAGCTTGAGTGAATGAATAAAAAGTGTTTTATTAATGATTGAAAATTTGAACACAAGATATATATACATATATATATAAATAGATATATATGGGGAGAGGAGAGAGTGAACTAATAGTAGGAGAATTGAAACAAAGAAATCACAAATGTGAGTAAATTTTGTGTGTGTGTGTGGTGTTTAATTCATTAGATCTATTCCATTTCATTCTTCATTTTTAGGTAAAATGCATGCGTTTTTTTAATTGATTTCTGTGAGCGAAAATTTTCTTGCTTTTTTTTATGAATTGGGTACATACCTTAAACCGCGATCACTCGCGCGGGGTGTTCTCTACACCCCAGTTATAATATAAAGTTAATATATTTTAAAATGAAAATTTTGTAGGTAGTTTAAATTAATGTTAGTCTCATTTTTATGCAATAAATTTAATAATTTTATTTGTATAATACAAAAAACAACTTGTACTTTATAAAAATGTATCATAATTGACTAAAAAATTTTTTCATATTTAAATACACGTGTTAAAAGTTTGGGGTGTTTTCTACACCTTGCGAGTGACGACGGTACAAAAACAGGCGCGAGTGACCGCGGGTTAATTAAAAATACAGTAATACCCCGAACTTATGCGATAGGTGGGAAGGAGTAATGACCGCGAAAGTCGGAGGATATTTTCGCATATAAATACATATAAATTATTTTTAGTTGGGACCAGAGACGAAAGAAAATAATAATTTGGAGCAAAAAAAGTTTAACAAAATCCAGGTAACACAAATACAAAATTGCAAACCGAAGTTATTTTGATGTGGAAGGTTTAATAAATTCTAACAAGTAGTGTGCAACGGCTGAAAGATTTTTTTTTTCACCTGCAAAATTTTCTCGTAGCATGCTAATGTATTTTTTTATTCCTTGTTTTGTTGAAAAAATACTCCCTTTGTTCGAGCACATATTTTCTAAAATTGTAACCCTTTTTCAACTAAACTTAGGCCTTATATCAATTTCCAGTCGTCAATCGATTGTCTGATTAAACTGGGTCTATAGACCCAACTTCTTCAATGTCTTGCTCATGCATTTCTATGAGCTCATCCATTGTCAGCTCCTAAATGTGGGAATCCAGTAGTTCTTGAACGTCATCACTATCCACTTCTTAATTTATTTGCCTAGCGAGATTGACAAGTTCTCAATCACATTACCAAATTCATCAGGCCCTGGCGCTGATTCCACCTAAATTCCAGTAATAAAAAAAAAATGAATTGACGAGATTTGAAAATTGCATAACTCTCTCCGAATTCGCGAATGTCGAGAGGTATTACTGTAACTTGAATTATATTTTACACAAAACATGCAACCACTTATTCAATAAATTGCATATTGTTAAATTTCATGCGCATATATTTGTATCATAGAATGCGATTCTAAAATAATATTACTGAAATCTTGCAAAATTAGAACATGTTAAAAATAAACGCAATTCTTTTTGTATGTGTTTTAGTAATTGATGAAACCTAATTATAATTATTTACATTCAATTATTAAGAAAATATTTCGAAATGTATTTTCGTAATATAAAATTAATAAAAATAAATAAATAAATAAAATAAATAATCGAAAAACATAAAATATAATTATAGGATAAACACTAACGTAATACATATTTATTCATTTGTATGCAAATCCAATTATAATAATTGTATTCAAACTTACCTAGAAATTCGTGAGTAAATAATGTAATAAGTAAGTAAATAATGTAAAAATATTCGGTGATTTCTCTGCATACCGATTGAGAATTAAGATAATTGGCAAAATCTACAGCTGTTTCGATCTTTAGTTCACATGCTGCGTCGAGAGCGCCGTTAATACAAAATCAATCTTTACTTTTAATTTATCTGCCTACCTTTGGCTACAGGTAATTTTCATGTAAGGTATTGTTACGTTAATTTGATTCCCACTGAGGGGAAATCTATCATTTAATTGTTAAAAGTATAGGTACTTAATTTTTTCCGTGAAATCATATTCATAAGATTAGATACTGCAACAAATAAAAAAGATTTACCAGAACAATTTTCTAAAACGCCACTGTAAACAAAATAATACTTGAAATACTTTTTAAAAGGTTTTAATATGCAGTGACGGATTTAAGATTAGGTCCACGAGGCCCGGGCATAGGGCGGCTAATTTTTAGAGGCGCCAACATTTTCGAGGTGGGAAAAATTTGAAATCGATTTTGTTTTTTTCAACTGTAAGACCGAATTTTATATAATACTTCTTTTCCTGCTTTGGCAACCTCAAGCTGTCAATATTAAAAGGGTAGAATTATTTTTAACACCTTTTTATAAGCTTCACATGTATGTAACGGAATCTTTGAATTCAATTTTTACCCACTTTAAAAGGTCAGATTAATTTGAAATTTTGCCCACTTGTCCTGGACCGATGACAATACAATAATTTAATAATTTTGTTCCCTTGTCCTGATCAAAATTAAAAATTTCCCATTTTCAGATGCCCTCCCGCATTTGGGGACTAAATTCAGATCCCATTTCCAGATTTGGCGACTAAAAGATTAAGTTACAACTTAGTTCAATTAACTATAAAAAGGGTGTCTTTTAGTTTTTAAACTATAATTTATTCAAAATACTTAATCGTGGAAGTAGTAAAATATCTAACAAATAGGTACAAAAAAAATTTCGTTAAGTTTAGTATTTATTTATTGACGATAAATTTTTTAATAAAAATTCTAAATGTAGCATTTGTTTGCTCATCATTATAGCAAAATATTAATTCACCACATTGATTATACCTTTGTCCAGTTACTCGAAAAATTTATTATTTTTAGTTTTTTTATAGTCTTGCATAAAAATTTTATAGTTTTACATAATATGAGGCGTAATGCATGTGCCTAAATTCAATACCTAAATTTAATTCGAATCCATTATTACTATTCGTATTATCATTATTATGCAAAGAGCATCAAATTAAATTGGGCCTAGGGTGTCATGGAACCTAAATCCGTCTCTGTTAATGTCCCAATATATCAAAAACTTATTAGAATGAAAGTAGTAGATTCTCTATTAATCATAGACTTTTTATATATAACATTATCATATTTTAAGGATATCCGAAAGGTATAGCTGCACTTTAAATAAATTAAATGTAAAAAAACTTTTTTAAGAACAAGCTTTTATTTAAACGCGCTAAAAAGAATAAAATAAACTTTTCCTTTAAAACTTTTTTTACTATCAACTTATAACGTCATTACACAATTTATATGATATAAAAGCTTGTCGCGAGATTTAACTGTGTAGATAAACAAGTAAAATAAATAACTTGACCTGATTGATTTTGGTTTTTAAAAATTCAAACTAAGTAAATATGAGTACTTAAATATTGCGACAAGCTTTTATATCATATAAATTGTGTAATGACGCTATAAGTTGATAGTAAAAAAAGTTTTAAAGGAAAAGTTTATTTTATTCTTTTTAGCGCGTTTAAATAAAAGCTTGTTCTTAAAAAAGTTTTTTTACATTTAATTTATTTTTTACTTTTTAGTTATCGCTGGACAGGTTTCTCAGCCTTTTCAACTCATTGAACGCTGGTTCGCCATCCCTGGTTTAGCTGAATTAATTCTCGCAAAATGGGGTATTAGACTAAAAACACAATTTTTTCAAATCCGTAATTTTTAAGCAATTTTTTCAATCTTCGTGCAGATTTTGGGTAACATTGTTCTACACACGAAAAAAAAAAGGTTTAGTGAGATTATCTTCATAAATGACACAGTTATTAAATGTTTAAATAAAATTTTGACTATTTTTGAAAAACTTAAAGAATATATTATTTATTTGAAATATTTTGAAGATAAGGGATACATTTCTCTAACATATTAGAAGAAAATTTTAGTTGTTTATTAAAAAACTTCAAAAGGCATTTAAATATTTGTATTAATCAATAAAATGCTTAAGACTCAAAACACATTTTGTAATCAAAAAAGAAAGTTTTATCAAATAATGATAATTTTTTGCTGGACATTGAATATCTTCTACGTAAGAATCTATTTTTTTTAATTGCTCAGATCATCTTTAGAAACTTGATTTTGAAAAAATCAATAATTAAATTCAAATAAAATTAACAGATTCTATTTGTAATTAAATTTAAGGACACATGTCGTAGTGTGTGTTTAGATTACTGGTGATAAAATGAGGTATATTTAAATTACTTGTAGGCTTAAAATTAGAAAATTTCTTTAAAAAATTCCTTCATTTTATTATAAAATTATTTTTTTTAATCGAAAATATATTGCATTTCTAGATAATATTTTTCTCTTATTGTTTTCCTAGCGGATTCCTTTTTGATGGGTAAGATACATAAAAAAATTATCTTTCCGATTCTGTAATTATTTTTTGTCTGAGTTTCATAGATTAAAGTTAGATAAATTATTTAAAGAATTTCTTCAATACTCCATCTCAGTTTAACTTGTCAGCGTTGAGAAAGGTATACAATGTACCAATCTACTTGAAAAATAGCTCTACTTTTATATTTTGAATTTAAATCCAAGAAAATAGATAGAAATTTGTAAAAAAATTGCATACGTTGTAGAAATTAGATTATTTTTACGTTGTAAAAATGTAATTATTTTTTAGACAAAGTTAATTCGTACTGTCAATAGCGCAACGTTATGAAATTCCAGTTTGGCTGAAAACCGATTTTCGACGCCAACTTTTGTCATTGTTGTAACAATAAAATTATTACAACAATGCAGATATATCCAAGTTGGCGCCCAAAATTAGTTTAAAGTTTTTAATTAATATCTTTTTAATTAATTGCAATATCGGAATATAAATGGTCAAAACATGCATTGTCATCCAAAC